TCATTGTCTTGCATAGTTGCTGTTTAGTTTCATCCACGTAGTTGCCATGAGGACATTTGGTGCACTGGATCAGGTATACTACATTTTGGGAAAAGCATGTGTAGGAACCATGGATTTTGATAGTTCCTTTGTGGGGGGTGTTGACAGTAGTGGCAGTGAAGATGGCTGACAGGCATTTTTTGCCAAGGCAAGGCTGCGTTCCACTTGATGTCTGTTGGGCAGTGGAGAGTTTGCTTCTGTTGATGGGTTGGGCAAAGTTGGGGATCTGCTTGAAAGCCAAGAGTGGAGGAGCTGGGAATATTTCTCTCAATGTCCAGTATTGGTTGTAGTTGTCTGAGGATTCTTCAGACTGGATCCAGTGTGGGGTGGTAGGTGATCACTGTGGGGGGGTGGTCACAGAGGGTTTTATAGGGGGTTTTCTTTTAGTATTATAGCAGGTTACTGTGGGGTATTTAGATAACTCTTTCAAATGTATAGTCTATTTCTTGACTGGAGTGTCCTGCTTGTATAAAGACAGATTTTAGGTGGGCATTGTGGATGTTCTCCTCCAAGCAGAGGTGGTATCTGAGGGCCAGGCTGTAGATAACAGCTATTTTGGTCTGCTTGGGACAGTTGCTGTTCCTGTGGACATACGTGTGTTGGTCTGTGGCTTTTCCCTATGCAGTAGTTTTCAGAGTGCCATCCTGGACATGGACTGTGGTGCCTAGAAAGTTGATGTTAGTGTAGGAGCAGTCCAGAGAAAGTTTAATAGAGGGATGATGGTTGTTAAATCTGTGGTGAAAACTAATAAGTGTGGTTGTATAAAGGCAGAGGTTAGGCTGGCCAAGACGTAACACACCTGACATGGAGACTATCACATGGTTAGCATCATTGGACATAAAAGGTGGGCATCGTGAGTGTTCTCAGAGAACATGCAGCGGTATTTGAAGGCCTGGCTGTAGATTACATCATCTTTGGCATGGTTGGGATGATTGCTGGTGTTGCGGACATAGACTTAGTGGTCTGTGGGCTTCCTGACCTAACAAAGAATGTCTTCCATTTGAAAGTATGTCTGACTCTACCCCAACTACACAGTTAGTTCAATAAAAGATATCTTACAAAATCCTTACCTCGCATAATTTTTGGACCATCATGGCTATTGAAGGAACATCACTCCCTCAGCACCAACTAGGGGTGTGCAAAGCAGGCCCTATTCAATTCAGGTTTGGATTCAGCCCAAATCAGGGGCAGTGATTCGATCCGTTGCTTCGGATCGCTGTCCCTGATTTGATTGAGCTGAATCCGAATCTGAAGATTCGATGCTGATTCGGAGAATCAGTGATTCAGATGTAGACACAGCTTTAAATGTTTTTTCTACATACCTCTAAGTACCAGGCGTGGCTCGTGAACACTGCAATGCTGGAGTGGATGGAGCATCCCATAGGAGCGCAGGGGGACCCTCCACTTACTCAGCAGTGAACCCAGAAGTGGACCGGAAGTACCACCAAGGGGACCCTGATCAACCGCAGGGGGACCTCAGGT